TTTCCCTAGGTATGGTCAGCTGTTAATGCCCGGTGGCATTTGCCACTTTGTACATGGGCTTTCAACTCCTACAGTCATGTTCAGAACACAGCTAAGACATGTTTTGGTACATGTGACTTTTTGGCCCCTTGGGAGACACATTTATTCCTTCTAGCTCTAATGCCTAGACAGAAGTGTTTAAGATTGCCTTTAAATGGGGGGGGTGGGCTGGGGGGTGTGGAAGGTAGAAGTGAGCTTAGAAACACTTTTTTGACTGCCTCACATTTATTGTTGTTCTTTAAACAGCGCATCCAAGTAATGATTCAGCCAAGTGAAGACATCACTCATCCTGAGAGCGGGCCAGACCAGGCCCAACAGAGCAACTCTGCAAACAAAGAAGCCTACATCTAACCTTCTGTATTGTAAAAGTACCAATACTACTCCAGAAAAACAAAAAATATGGTTGAATATGACCACAAATTTATGTCTGAGAATATAATTACATACCTCTAGTGGCAAAAAAAAAAAAAAAGAAAAAAAAAAGGTCATCTTCACTGTAATGGAATCGCCATGGGTATGATCCAACCATTGCGCGAGCTCAGATGTTGACAGTGTTTTGTGTTCTCTGGCAATCCACAGACTGTTAGTGTTTTTATCCTTTCACAACAATAGTTGCATATCTTGGAATTTGTAAATTGATGTGCCAAGATCTTTTTAATCTACCTTTTAGCACGACTATTTGAAGTTTTGTGCTGCTGATTTTTCGTAGTTTCTCAATATTTCTTACCGCTGAATCCCAAGACTGTTATTTCTGACTTTGCAGGAGTAAAATTAAGTTTGGAATTGTTTTGTACAAAAGAATGAAGTATTTTATAAACAAGTGATTTCCAGTGAAAAAGTCTGCCCTTAAAATTTATTCCAGTTGAGACTATTTGAGAGAGAAGAGACTTCCTTCGAACAGCCTTTATAAACATTCCTAGTGCAAAATAAGTTTTATGGCCATTTGTGGCAATAGAGCATAGAATGGCTGTGCACTCTTATCTCTGCTTAGCTTGCCAGGATAACTTTCAAATAGGATCATAAATTTCCTTACCAATCCATATATTCTATCTCTTACAAAGGTAACATATCTTTTGGAATCGCTGCAATGTGGATCGCAGCTGTTAGAGGCACAAATATAACTTCTAATTTTTTTTATTTTTTTTTATTTTTTTTAGCAAAAGGAGAATTACCATCCAAGAGCTTTTAAAGATTTCCAGGAGTAAAAGAAATACAAAGTATTTGTAATTCAAGCTCGGAGCCCTTGAGCATTTATTACGCTGTTATTATTCTACTGTTATTGCATTGCCACCAAAATAGAAACCAAAACAATGGCTTAAAGATTGAAGCTTGTCCTTGTAGTCCTAATTTAGGGTTTAATTCACAACTGTTCTTTTTAATCTGTTCAAGGACTTGAAGAGTTTCTAATAAACAAAATGCAAAATAGGGATCCCTAGCACTTTGAAGACAGTTTCCTTTTCATTTACACATTTGTGGTGACGAAGGCAGGGGGAAAATGATTTCAGTAATGCAAGCATCTCCACTCTGGGCTTGGTCTGCATTTGCCACATAGCTCACAAGTCCTTTTGGCTCATGGCATTTTGTTTCCCTGTGTGGAAAGTGCAGCGGTGAGCCCTGTACGGCATTTCTCGTTTGGCAGCTATCCGACGGACACAAACGATTATGGAAAATGCAGTAGCTGATGTCTGATTGTAAATGACTGTGACAGAACTGTGCAATGAAACATGCTTTTCAGCAAATTTTTGTGCAACGTACAATGTTAGATAGCACAATTTATGTAGAAATACTACGTGAAAAACATGTTAACTGTGAATGTTGGGTTTTTTGTTGTTTTTGTCTGAAGGTGACAAACATTCTTGCAATAAGGTATTATTCTCAGAATGTCAAGCACATTATTGTAGAAATAATATATATATATAATACACATGTATTTCAAACTACATCATGAAATCTCAGAGTATGTTTGGTAGGTTCTAAACCGTTTCATACATAGATCAGCTGTAAAATATTGTGACATCTAAGCGACATCCTAACTGGCTGCAGCTGAAATGCAAAAGTCCTGTAAGTCTTTGGGATTTAGAAGAAACCTGTCCATCCCACACCAACATTCTACATGATACATGCGCATCATCATTGTGAATTTCATTAGACTAAGGATAAAAACTCCAACTTTATTGTTTAATGTAATCAAGTCCCATGTTGTTCTAAGAAAAATGCAGTATTTAATGTTTGATTGTAAACAATTATGACAGATGTTTGACAGACCTGCTCTTTAGCAAAAAGCTGTACAAACGTACCATATAGCACAAAATAGTGTTGTAGAACTACTGTGTGTAAACTGTGAATAGCTGTATCTTTTTTTGTAGTACTTGCCCTGAAAAAAAAAAAAAAAGATTATTGTATGATCATATATGCTTTTTGCAGTAAGGAAATATCTGAACACCACGCAAATCTATCTCTATATAAAAATATATATGTAATATATACATATTCAAAAATATATACAGAGCCTGTTTAAAAGAGTACAGTATTATTTAGTAAATTGCAACCTGTTCTATGGACCAAATGTAAAATATTTATAAATTAAGATGCATTTTAAATGTCTATAAATGGTGTCATAATTAAAGCACGATTGTTATGTAAGTTTCCAAGAGTTTAGAGGAAAAAGAATAAAGGTTATATTATACATTAAATTGAGAATTTTGCAGTCCTTCCTTGGACAAAACCAAGGCATGTTATTTTCTGTGAAGCAAGTTCTAAATGTTTCATATATTTTGATACATATTATAGAGCAGTTTGGGCTGGAAGGGACCTCTTAAAAGGTCATCTCATCCAAGCCCCCTGCAGTGAACAGGGACAGCAGCAGCTAGACCAGATTGCTCAGAGTCCCATCCAACCTGGTCTTGAACACCTGACAGTAATGGAGCATCCACAACGTCCCTAGACAACCTGTGCCAGTTTCTCACACTCTCAGAGTGAAGAACTTCTTCCTTCCATCTAATCTAAATCTCCCCTCTTCCAATTTGAAGCCATTACCCCTTGTCCTATCACTACAAGCCCTTGTAAGAAGTCCCTCCCCAGCATTCTTGCAGGCCCCCTTCAGATACTGGAAGGTGGGGAGAAGGTCTCCCCAGAGCCTTCTCTTCTCCAGGCTGAACAACCCCAACTCTCTCAGCCTGGCCTCACAGCAGAGGGATTCCAGCATCATCTTCATGGCCTTCTCTGGCCCCACTCCAGGAGGTCCATGTCCTCCTTGTGTTGGGGTCTCCAGAGCTGGACACAGTGCTCCAGGTGGGGTCTCATGAGAATAGAGTAGAAGAGGAGAATCCCCCCTCTTGACCTGCTGGCCATGCTGCTTTTGGTGCAGCCTCACAGTGGATGTGAATCATTCAGCCTCATCGCTCTATATAATAAAATATATCCTTTAAATATCAAAATGCTGTATCAGGCTCATGAGGTGTATAATTAATCCATACTGCCATTTCTGTAATTTACTTAGCATGTGCATACATTATACAGAAAGCTTAAAAGGTGACAGTTAACAGCCCTACCTGGCATCTTGCTACTTTAAACCTTCTCCAAGAAGGCCCTAGAGAAAAGTTGGGATTTTAAAATGAATGTTCCTCGGGCACGTTTCTGCTGATACTTCAGGGTATGAACTGCTGCACCTGAAGCCACTGATTTCCAAGCCATTACCAAGGAGCCATTACCACCCCAGGGTGGAACCAAGGGGCTGCTGAATCAGGGATCTTGTACTAAATGATACATTTCTACCAAAAAAATAAAGATAGTTGTTCCTTCTATCAGCTGCCATTAAAGTGTGAGAAGATGTCAAGCACGTTGCCCAGCAGTCTGCCTTACATCTGTGGCTGTGCTCTGGATTTAATTATCTAACTATAAAATTGGAGCAAGACATCATGCTGGGAAAGCGTCTAAGCAATTTAGAGAACATGATTAGAATTGAAAGTGCTCCTGATAGAGGCATCTAAAACCGTCAGACTTCAAATTCCCAATGCTGACCTTAGGATGGAGAACTCAGATGTGCCACAAGGCATGGCTGATCCTTCTGCTTTTAAACAAGGCTGGGGAGTGAAGGGCAGGAATCATAGACTCACTATGGTTGGAAAGGACCTCTAGGATCACCCAGTCCAACCTTTATCCCAACATCTCCCTCACCAGCAGGTAGGGAAGAGCACAGATTATTCTGGAAATGGGGGGGAAGGAGCAAATGTGGTGCTTTCGAAATACAGAGGAGAAATGAAACTGTCTTTAGTGGTTGGGCCTTGTAGCGATAGTCTCCTGCTGCTTTCACAACACATTGTAAGACAAGAGCTGAGAGTCCCGTCAGTCAGTGCTGGGCAGCTGGCCCTGCAAGGGGCAAAGGGTGGCTGAGGAAACAGCACCTACTTGAAAGCTATTGCGTTAGTGCTGTGATATTTCCATGCTCTCCTGGAGGAATTTGTTCTTGCCATGCTGCAGAAATCCCATCAGCAATTCGATAAAGAAAAACGCAAATAAGGTCACTTCTTCCCTACAGGACTGCAGGATGCCCTGAGAGAAAGCCATGTCCTTGCTCGTCAGGAGTATTAGTTCAGCTACATGTGCCTTTATTCTAAAATAACTGTATTGCTTTTGGGGGTTTTTGTTTGTTTGTTTTAAGCCTGATAATTTCTGTTTTGTTCCGCTCAGGCCACAATAGCATTACAATTAACTATTAAAATTACTTGGCTCCTGCTGTTGGCTGGTTCTTGGGGTTATAACCCAAAAGGCACAGCTAAAGCACTCAGGTGCAGACATCTCATGCTTCCCGTAGCCTGGAAGTAAGCACAGGGTGGCATCTCCTGCCTGCCGACACCCCTTCAGAGTCACAACCACACTTGGCAGCTGCCACTGAACCCAGCTGGGAGCCACAGACATGGGCTGCACTAAAACATTTGGACATTGACATCTTGGGCTCTTCCACTTCAGGATAGAAGAGGAGGCTGAAATTCATTGTGCAGCTACCTACAAAACCACCAAAAAAAAATGGACATGATGCAGAAAGCACCGGCACAAAAGCCTTATTTCCCAGGAATCTGAACTGATCAACTCGAAGCGGAGCACAAGCCAGCTGTAGCTGCTGCTCTTGGTGTTTCAGAATCTGCCTGACCTGGCTGGGCTGAGATAAGAGTTAATTTTCTTCCTGGTAGCTGTTGTAGTACTGTGTTTTGGATTTAGGATGAGAATAGTACAATGATTTAACCATCAGAGCAAGGAGGAAAGCACCAGGCTTTATATTCTAAAGGGTCTTTTTACTTCTCACCCACCCTCCCCACCTTTCCCAGCTTCTCATACTGCTCAGAATTATAAACTTGGAGGGGGAGGGGGGAGAGAAACACCAACATGAAAACCTCAACTCTCTCCCCACCAACCAAAACAAACAACAAAACATGTTATGCTTATAATTATGTTCATA